GAGCATGCCACAGGGCTTATAACTTGGCAAGGCAACTTTTGGATTCTTAAGAGAGTCCACTGCAAGTGACATTACCAGATTTGGGGCTTTTTGAAGTATGTGATCATCTCTACACCTAGTCATTTAGTTAGGAAATTGCTCCCCACCTGCCAAAAGACCTTTTAGCATTCCTATAATGATTGATTCAATAGCTACTTATTCAGAAAACATAGTGTACTAAGCAGTGAGCTAGGGGCAAGGGAAAAATGCAGTGAATAGGACAGGCCCTACCTCCCAGAGGCTCAAGGTCAGACAGACGATCAAGTAAACTCAGATGCTAACAACCCAATGTGACATCATGGTTTTAGAAGTATCCAGCAGTGGGGCACCTGGGTGGCTCAGTCAGTTAAGCACCCATCTCTTGACTTCGGCTCAGGTCATGATCTCACTGTTCATGAAATCGAGTCCCATGTCGGGCTCTGCTCTGACAGAGCAGAACTTGCTGAAGATTCTGTCCCTCCTCTCTCTCTGTCCCTCCCCTGTTCATGCACACACACACTCTCTCTCTCTCAAAATAAATAAATAAATAAATAAATAAATAAATAAATAAATAAATATTAAAACAAAAAAACTAAAAGAATAATACAGGGATAGGCAAGGGGATGCCAGGAAAGGCTCCTCAGAGGGGAATGTGGTTTAGCAAAGATCCAACAATGAATGCAGGGAAGGGGTGGGAAGACAGGGTGTAGACGGGTGTTCTGCAGCACGTGCAAAGGCACAGGAGAAAGAAGAGGTAGCATGTGATTGGAGGGATTGCTGACACTATTGTTAGTGTTACACGTGATGTTCTAAAACATTTACATGTTACATCCTAAAAGATGGGGCGGGGGGCGGGACACACTTCCAAAGATGCCACTCTACCAATGACCACGTGAAAGAGTGTCTGTCCCTACGATAAAAGGTATATGGGTATATGTATACATATATACACTATATATATGTATATACACTCTGCACATTCTGCCAGATACTAAGTTTCTAACTCATTAGTAATTCCTAACATTAGATTTCTTGTCCTGCAGTCATACTCCTTGATTAGAAAACTCCGTTTAACATTTCTGTATTCTCATATCCTTTCTAAAAGGAAGACATTGTTACATTCTTGGGTGAAAAAAAACAGTGAGGTCTCAAAAGAGCATAATACAGGGGCGCCTGGGTGGCACAGTCGGTTAAGCGTCCGACTTCAGCCAGGTCGCAGCTCTGTGATTGAGTTGAGCGCATCAGGCTCCTGTGGGCTGATGGCTCAGAGCCTGGAGCACTGTTTCGATTCTGTGTCTCCCTCTCTCTCCTCTCTGCTCCTCCCGTTCATGCTCTGTCTCTCTGTCCCAAAAAAAAATAAACGTTGAAAAAAAAATTAAAAAAAAAAAAAAAAAGAGCATAATACAATCTGGATGTATATACTTTATATGAATACAGACATAAAAACTTCTGAAAGAATAAACTCTAATACTTTAATAGAAGATGGAAAAATCGTGTGTTTCTTTTTGTTTTTTGTTGGCTTATCTCTTCTTTTCTTTTTTTTTTTTTTTACTATCAACACTATTTGTGTATTTTTAAAATCTCAGTTGTATCCTCACAATACTTTCCTTGCTGGAAGCTCACAATCAGGGAACCCCCCAGGGTCCCCGGCCAGGCCCATCGGGCTCCCTTGCCCAATCCTTGTCTTTCTTGACTCAGCCTGCTCTCCCATCTCTAGTAGCTGTCACTACCCACTTTACCCTTTCTGTGTCTCCTACCACTAACTGCGTGACTGATGCATGTGAGATGAAGGACCAGAAGAACCCCAAACCTTTGTGGGTCTTAAGGATTTTACTGTCCATCGATAAGGGAGAAAGGAGGAGGCAGGAGATCAGAAGCATGACAAGTATGGGGAAGGAATGACTTTTGCATAAACTTCCAAACTGTCTAGAGTTGAGGCCAGACGCTGGCACACCCCTGAAACAAGGAGCAGTGCCGAGAAGGTGCCTATGGCAGGCCCTGAACCACTGACGGCTGTGAAGTTACTCTAAGGAACCCGGGAATCAGAGGTGTTACAAGGAGCATTGCTAGAATAAAGTGATCTAGGCTGCATACATACCATGTTTTCAAGCACTTGAAGATGGTACCAATAACCAAATTCGTAACATTTAACACCTCCTTTCTCATTATTTCTCAATGAAGTGACACTAAAACTATCACTCGCAAATAAGTATCCACAGAATCTTTCAATGTTAAAGTGTCCCCATGGTCAAGGAGGCTGAGAAACCTACTGTAGCGCAGGTTTTGGTGGGACAGAACAGGGTTTACTCCGTAGATTCTTCACCAAACTGAGTACATCTCAGCATGTTTCTTAAACTCTCTAAGCCTCAGTTTGTACATCTGAAAGTGAGAAGAAGAATTCCTTGTACCTTCCCATGAGGCAAAACTAACTGAACTCGGTCTCCCAGCTGACCATCGGCTCTCCCTCATTTCTCACCAAAAGTCGACCGACGCAGCAGAATGGCAAATGTTAACGGGCACTTCAACCTCCACACGAAAGGCCAATTCACTAGGCCACTGGCCAGCCCAGACACAGCTGCCTCTGGGCATTTCCTCTTATCCACAGAAACATAAAACATACACATGTAACAAAAATTCTCAATATTATTTCTTTATTTGAATAGTAGCATGTAAGGTTAACCTTTGCCATTAGAACAAAGTGTAACTTGTTCTTAGAATGTGTGACACAGAGACAATGGCTTAATTTATCTACAACCTGAACTGAAAATTATTCTTTAAATATGTCCTCAATGGTTTAGAGAAAGTGATAGCTAAAGAATTCAAGATAATCATGTACTATCTCTCCTTAAGATTCCCACCTCCTTTCATGGTGAAGTAAGTCTAGCTTACCTGAAAGGACACTCTTAATGGAATATCAGAAGTTGATAAACACTTTAAATCAAAACAGCGAGATTTAAAAAATTTTAAATGCCCAACTGACATGCCACAATGAGAAATACATAGTATCAGATTCTAATGTAGTTAATGAAAACAATGCATTTTTTCTCTTCAGGAAAAAAATGTCTTCTTTGCCATTAGCTATAAATCCATAAAGGATTATCACGAAAGGGATTATGATTATTATACTAAAGCAACCTTTTATATATTGTTTTGGAGAACAAGCTTTCTGGGAGACAAAGCAATCACACCAACAGTCCCAAAGAGTTATTTTTCTTCTTTAACAGACGGTATGTTCTGCAATACAGACACAAGTCCCAGGTATTTAAATCAGAGACAGAAGAAAATACTATCCCTTAATAGGATTACATAGAAAAGGAAACCTCTCTTACTTGAAGAGCAACCGTGGTACTGGTTGCCTACAGTGAAAACTGATGTTATCTTAATTAGTTAATTATTCATCCCAACCCCCCTGGCTTTGCTCCTGGAGGCATTCATACCTTTTCCACCTCTTGCTGTGTTAACACCAGTTCAATAATTTGCTGATAAAGAATCTTACTGCAGCATCTAACAGATCTTAGAGATTAAGTGTCTGGCTCACTCCCTCATTGTACAGATAAGTAAACTGAGCCCAAAAGAACTCAAGTATCTTACTGAAAATAAGCTAGTTATTTGAAAAACCGACCCACAGCATTCCCCAGGCCGCACCTCTCACTGGGTGAACAACCTAACTGTGAAACTGACTACTCAAGTAGATATCTACCTGAACAGATATCTGGGAGAGAATGGGAGAGAATGTGTTCAACGGGCCACACGGCGTATTTTAACTGCTAAAATAATCCAAAAGGATATACACCAACCTCCTTGGGACAGTCAGTGCAGGAGCAGCATTAATTCAGCTGAATCTCCTCTCGGTTATTCTTTTTATTCATAATTACAAAGATGACAGCACCCCAATAAATTAAGAAGTATGGTAATTTCATTCTCTCCCAGTAAGTACACATGTTATATGTGTTATATTTTCAACTAGTTAATCAAATCAATACACCAATCCTGAGGCTTAGGCTGTACATATGGGAAATGTGATAACCGTCTTAATTAAAGCTTTTTTGATATCTAGACTTCAGCACAGATCCTAAGCATTTTAAAGATTCACATTAATTCCAACCTTAAAAAAATGTATTTACAGAGGAAAGCTTCTTTTGCAATTTGTATGTTCATAAACATTTCCATTAGCTAAGCAATATTTTGGAATGTGATCAAATGATACTGCGTGTCACGTCCTAACAGTAAGGCTAAATCTCTGACAGTTCTCACATGTGGCCACTGCTTTTTTCAACCTGTGTCCCAGAAAATCCTAACTTAACAAGTGAAGGCAGCAAGTCATATTTTAATGGCTACCTTTCATTGTAACTCTACTTCATAAATACAAAATTGGAATTGGACCTCTCTCACACTGTTAACAATCTAGTATTAATATAGGCATCTGTCCTACCTCCCCCTCGAGAGAGAAGTGATACACTCCAGCTACACAGAACTTCCAAATTCTTTCCAAAACAAAATACCACTCCTTAAAAAAAAAGGTATGGAGAATTGGGAGACTGAATATTTATGTCAACCTTCAGAAAATATGAAAACATGCAGCCCCAACTCACCAGGAAAATTATTATTTGTGATCGAACTACTTTGTGACATCTTTCATCTTTTATGTATTTCACTTCATACCTAGTATTCCGGTTCTGCACCCGCTTAACTCCATCAACCCCCAAACGTCTCAAGAAGCTACTACAGCAGAACATGAACAGTGCAAGAGTTCTGCTCATTGCCTGTGGCGTGATCTTAGACACACTTGAATCAGGCATATTTATTTCCCCTCTGTTATTCAAAACGGAGGGACCTCAAGTTCGGGATGTGGCTAAAGGACAGCAACAAGAAAAAAAAAAAAAAAAAAAAAAAAAAAAAATACCCAAACAAGGAACATGCTAAGAACAAAGGAAACACAAGCCTGTGAACAGGAAATGAAGCAACTCTATACACACAAATACCTTTTGGGGCCGCCAACGTAGGTGAAAGTAAAGGTGGAGTCTGAGTATCTGAAATCTGAAACGGAAAAGTCCTGTTAAAAGCTACCCCTTAACTGGGTTATTAACCCCGGTCAGGACTTGGGCCCCCTATTTAGTGGAGCCAAGGGAAGGCCCGGCGGGGAGGCAGGCGTGGGCAGGAGAGCCGCGCGGTCCCCTCTCCGCCCCACGCCGAAGGGGATGCTGCGCACCCCGGGCCAGGTGCCGCGGGAGGCCGCCCCCCGCAACAAGTGCCGGGTGCCATGGCAACGGCGGGAATTTCCTGGTAGGGGCGGCCGGAAGCTGCCCCCGCGGAGCTCGCGGCTGAGAAAGCAAAATCCGATCCCTCTCCCGGGGGAGCAAAATGGACGAAAGGCGACCCCCAGGCAGGGGAGCAGGGCGCCTCGGAAACCCCGGGAGTCCCTTCTCTTTCCGGGGCAACGCGCTGCCAGTCGGTGGGGACTAGCTGGAGCTGAAGGCGGGGAGACCCGGCCAGCGCTGCCCCCCGGGGGCCTCGGCGCCGGGCGCAGCCAGCCAGCGCAGCGTAGCGCAGCGCAGCGGGCTCCATTCCCGGCCGCCGCCGCTCAGCCCATTGCGCAAACCCGCGGGTCCTCCCCTCCCGGCTCGGCCGCCGCTGCCGAAAGCCCGGAGGCGGGCTGGGACGCTCCGGGCATCCACAAGGGGCTGAAAAGACCACGCACGGCCCCTCCGGCTAGACCCCGGCTCGGGCCACGGTGGTTCTGCCCCCAGAGCTGGTGGCCGCCCCAGACTGGGGGGG